ATATCATCGAAATGTTTACATTAGCGAACGTGATTTATATAATATTCGATTTATTAAAAGAAACGTTTAATACATACTATTTATAACAAAATAAACAAATATTCTAACAGCGATAAGTATTTTTTTAATTAGAAGAAAAATGATTAACAATTTTTGTCTGCGTAAATTTGCGCTTAGCATTGTCTTCCAATGCCTGCGCCCGTAATTTACGAAGTACTAAAATATCCGTGTATGAAACTTCTTTTCTTTCAGCCGAATCTAAAGCTTGGTTAAAAACTTGTATAGCTTGCGCGTCAGTCACTACACTTCTGACTTCAATGGGATCGTTCTCATCATCCTCACTATCCATATCCTCCTCCTTATCAGCATCATTCGTCTGCTTATCTTCAATCCATAAATTAATATCGGCAGGAGTACAAACAATGTTGGGATTCACGGTTTTCAATAAATCAACAACATCCAATGACACACTAATAACATTATCATTATTGGATCGCAAACGTTCTCTAATTACGCTTAAGGGGACATCGTCTTCTTCATCATCTTCATTATTGGTACAAAAGAGATTGTTCCAACATTTTTGAATAGTTTGCTGGTCAAGTTCATTCCAGGCCATTTGTAAATCTAAAACAGCTTCTTGTAATGTTACTTTTTTTAAAGCCTCAGATAAGTTTTCAGGATTCTTTGATAAGACAGACGAAAGTAGAAACTTCCTATAGTATAGTTTGGTGAGTCTTATTATATTCTGGTCCATCGGTTGACTTAACGGTGTTACGTTGGGCGGCATGTACATGACGAAAATTGGCCCATCCCTGCTCCTCAGTTGTTGCTGGGGAGGATGACTTGGTGCATTATCCAATAGTAACGACGCTTTTATTGGAAGCTTCTGTTGTTTTAGGAAACCTTTTACCTACAAATTGAAAACACATCTTCAAATTATGAATAGAGCATTTGTGATAATTGATTGACATACCTGAGGGACAAAGCACCTGTGGAACTATTTCAGGAATATACTGCTAGTCATCCAAGCGGTTTTTGAACAGTCATAATTAACAGGGAGATTAACATTTTTAAATGAGCGCGGATTTTTTGCTTTCCCAATTACCAGTGGCTTTATTTTGTGTGAACCATTAGCATTAGTGCAGGCTAGAAACGTTATTCGTTGTTTCTCCGGCTTTCTTCCCGGGGCAGATTTTTCAAATGATGCAGCATAGGTTTTCTCTGGTAACATTTTCCAATAAAGGCCACTTTCATCTGCGTTGTAAATTTGTTCCATTCCTAAATCTAGCTCGGTAATTGTTTTCATCAATTTTTCTTTGAATGGTTGCACTAATTGTGGTTGTGCTGATAATTTTTCACCAAATATAGATAGCAGTCGAATTCCATATCTTGTTTTGAATCGTTGAGGCCAGCCATCACTAGCTACGAAATTTTCAGTTTCTTTCAGTTTTTCATTTAACAGTGTCGCTCTCTGTTTAAGTACTTCGCCACTAACTGGGACATGATTTTCCCATTGTTTTAAAAACCACTTATACAGGGAATTTTCCATTTTAGGTGCCTTCGCATTTTTTAAAGTTTTTCTTTATCCCGGACCTCCAAATGTATTGCACGTTCTTTGTAAAATTTGAGTTTTCATACGCTTAATTTTACAGATTGTTGCTTTCGATACTCCAAATTGTTTTGCTAACTGTGTCACTCCCGCACCTAGTGCAACTTCGTCTATGATTTTCACTTTCTCACTCAACTTTAAACACTTTCTTTTATAGGATGTGGATGCCATAGTCGTAAAATATATTAACATACTATTACTATTACTATTGATCGAGGTATATCAATAATTTCTGAAACATTTCGTATGCTTATTTGCGGATTATTTTCAAACATATTTAAAGCAATATTCATACGATGATTTCCCAGTGGCCTTCCTGAGCCCTGCATGCGCTGAAAACTTCCATGGTTTGACAAATTCCGGTGAGTATCAGTAAACATTCGACGTCCAGGTACTATGCGATTGGGAAATCTTCTTTGATATTCTCTTACGGCTGCCAATGTACTGAAATTGCAAAACCCGTACACAAAATGCATGTCAGTCAGTTCTCTGTCTGTAAATCTTGGCATTTTAAATCGATTTAATAAAAAATTTGATTTTAATCTAGTAATTTTACACTGCTAACAATGTCAGCTTAACGTCAAAATAAGTCATAACAAATCAAAACAACTTTTGTTTGCAGACATGGCTAACTATGTATAATCAACAATTCGTTTAAATTCGCAGTACATTTAATATCATGTGACAAATTTTTTAGTTTGATTTTATTCAAGAATGGCACAATTTATCGATATTCAATAAGAGTACCTTTTTTATGTAGAAAACCCTAAATTTTCAAATTCTAAAATTGAATTTCAAAAATAGAAATACACAAAAATTTTGGGGCTAAAATAACCTGAGTCCGTCCCTGTTACATACGCTTTCAAACAATACTGTCCAAAATTGTTAACATTTTTGAATCCAGCATAAAAAACTAGGCTAGGATACCAAATTTTATGTCTTTATCTCAACACGTTTCGGAAATATTAAGGAAAAACCATCCTCAGGGGAGCCCCTTTAAAAGCCCGTAGCGCTCTTAGGGGACGTTTGTCGACCTATGTTGATATAAACTTTTCTCCCTATTTTAAGCTCTAGAAACCGCTGGTAGAATATCGCACACTTTTTTCGGGACACCCTGTTGATCACACCTCAAAAATCCAATCTGATATATCTACGGATTCCTCATTATATCTAGTGTATCTATCACCAATATCGCAGTATTTCAAATCAATGTCGCGTAGGTTTACAGGTATTTTATTCGAAGTAACTCATGCGTTGTTCTGCTAATCTCCGGCGTATCTGAGATATCTGCCATTCGATTGGGACAACATAGCCCATTAGCAGTCCTTGAGTCCCGTCTTACAGCACTTGAATTATGAAAATCGATCCGCATCTACGGAATTTATTTGCTATACATGCACCTAAGCCTCGATTTGTTTGGATGTATGGAAAATTGAGGCTTGAAGTAGTGTTAGATCGCGCGATAGAGCGACAGGCCACATAAAATAACGAATAATTGACATAGATGGACATGCCGCGTGGTTTCAGTTGCTTTAGAGGATGGCGTGGCGTAGGAATTCGTACCAACACATCGTTTTATTTTATGATTAATAACGTAAGTTTTGGCATGAAATATTTATCGGATTTTATTTTAATAAAGCGCTAACTAGTTATCGTAAATTACAACTCAATAACTAATCTAGACTATCGAATTTAGATGAATTTATCTCAGTTGTAGGGACGACTGACGATACGGGCCTAAAGCACTAACTAGTTATCGTAAATTACAACTCAATAACTAGTCTAGACTATCGAATTCAGATCAATTTATCTCAGTTGTAGGGACGACTGACAATACGGGCCTAAAGGACTAACTAGTTATCGTAGATTACTACTCAATAACTAGTCTAGACTATCGAATTCAGATAAATTTATCTCAGTTGTAGGGACGACTGACGATACGGGCCTAAAGCACTAACTAGTTATCGTAAATTACAACTCAATAACTAATCTAGACTACCGAATTCAGATGAATTTATCTCAGTTGTAGGGACGACTGACGATACGGGCCTAAAGCACTAACTAGTTATCGTAAATTACAACTCAATAACTAGTCTAGACTATCGAATTCAGATCAATTTATCTCAGTTGTAGGGACGACTGACAATACGGGCCTAAAGCACTAACTAGTTATCGTAGATTACTACTCAATAACTAGTCTAGACTATCGAATTCAGATAAATTTATCTCAGTTGTAGGGACGACTGACGATACGGGCCTAAAGCACTAACTAGTTATCGTAAATTACAACTCAATAACTAATCTAGACTATCGAATTCAGATGAATTTATCTCAGTTGTAGGGACGACTGACGATACGGGCCTAAAGCACTAACTAGTTATCGTAAATTACAACTCAATAACTAGTCTAGACTATCGAATTCAGATCAATTTATCTCAGTTGTAGGGACGACTGACAATACGGGCCTAAAGCACTAACTAGTTATCGTAGATTACTACTCAATAACTAGTCTAGACTATCGAATTCAGGTAAATTTATCTCAGTTGTAGGGACGACTGACGATACGGGCCTAAAGCACTAACTAGTTATCGTAAATTACAACTCAAGGACTAGTCTAGACTATCGAATTCAGATCAATTTATCTCAGTTGTTGGGACGACGGACGATACGGGCCTAAAGCACTAACTAGTTATCGTAAATTACAACTCAATAACTAATCTAGACTATCGAATTCAGATCAATTTTTCTCAGTTGTAGGGACGACTGACGATACGGGCCTAAAGCACTAACTAGTTATCGTAAATTACAACTCAATAACTAATCTAGACTATCGAATTCAGATGAATTTATCTCAGTTGTAGGGACGACTGACGATACGGGCCTAAATCACTAACTAGTTATCGTAAATTACAACTCAATAACTAATCTAGACTATCGAATTCAGATCAATTTATCTCAGTTGTAGGGACGACTGACGATACGGGCCTAAAGCACTAACTAGTTATCGTAAATTACAACTCAATAACTAATCTAGACTATCGAATTCAGATCAACTTATCTCAGTTGTAGGGACGACTGACAATACGGGCCTAAAGCACTAACTAGTTATCGTAAATTACAACTCAATAACTAATCTAGGAGAGCGCTGACGCTGACACGGGACGAGTGTAATCTAGAAATTTTTGAAGGAGAGAAAAGAGTATGACAATCAAGGAGGCCATAAACGCGCCCTACAATTGTAGGGACGACTGACGATATGGGCCTTAGACTCAAAATCAATCGGCTTATTTTGAGTCTAAAAATTCTATGCTCACGAAATAGTCTCTAGAAGCACACCGTATCGTCAGTACTTGTACTTCTTATTCTAAGCTGACTGTTTTTATTTTTCCAGGAGAGTTTGACATGCGTGTGAAGTCCTGCGCAGCGTCAGACGGCGGAGGCCACGTGATCCAATTGTCGGACGAATTCGGGTGCGTCCTGCGACCCAAAATGATCAGCAGGTTTTTGAAAGCGCGGCAAGCCGACGAAAGAGCGACGGTTATCACGTACGCGTTTTTCCATGCCTTCAAGTTTCCTGATGCACTTTCCGTACACATCAAATGCAAGGTAAAAGTCATTATACCGGCAGGATTGCCCTTCACAGAGACCTCGACGATCTTATAAGAAAACCTACAAAATGTCACAAAAAACCTATATAATGTCAAAAAAACGACCTAATGTCACTTTTCAAGATACGGTGTCCACAAAAAAAAATTATACAAATGTATATTTTGAAGGGAAAGACGAGTAATTTAATTCCTTTAAAAAATAAGTTTCTTATTATACAGGGTGTCCCAGAAGTCGACATCAAGCCGAAACCGGGTGATAGGCAAAGTCATAACAGCTATCAGAAAAATATTTAAAAAAATTTTATGTATGTGTTTTGAAAATTATAAGTCTTTGAAAAAGATATAGAAATTTCACACCCTATGGCAGTCTGTCAACTCCTGTTACTACAAATAATAACTTTTTTTGGATTTTATTTTTACAATGTAATGATGAATAATGCATCTTCAAACTGGTGTCTCAACCTTACTGCCAACTTTTCTCGTTCAGGAAAAATTGCCACTTATTTCCCAACCAAGTATTCCAAAGTAAAACTTTGCTCAACTTTAACTGGCTGTACTGGAAAAAAGTGTACTACGAGAGTTTGGCAAGTAATCTTAAAAGTTGGCGCATTTAATAACGATTCCAAAATGGTATAACACTTAGAAGATTACTCGTTAACTTATGCACAATTTTTATTTGAAAAAAAAACTGATGAAAATTTTTCAAAATTTCCTAATTAAACAGCGATTATGAAAACGCACAAGGACCCTTAAGGATAACTGTTTGCACAACAGTGGGCGTCAAAATGCTGCTGATGATGATTTACCTTTACAGCAAATGCTCAAACTGTTTTCCTTCAGCCGCAATACACGCTCGACATCTTAAAAAAGATCGGGTTATTAAACGAGCGAATCCACGGTTATTAACAAACTCAGCTGCTTCCAATAGTCTTTGCCGTAGCTCAGCTACATTTTGAATCGGCTTGAAATACACTTTTTCTCTTACAGTTCCCCAGTAAAAAAATCTAAAGGATTCAAATCAGGTGATCGGGCTGGCCACGGTATTGTACCAGACCGCCTTATCCATCTGCCTGGAAAGTTTTGATCGAGATACTCTCTCACTGAGAGTGCATAGTGCGCTGGGCAGCCATCATGCTGAAACCACATGTCCCTGTAAATACTTAGTGGCACGTCCACCAATAAATTTTGAACATGATTTTTCAAAAAATCTAAATAAACTTCAGCAGTCAAAGTGTCTGGGAACTCAAACGGACCGATTATTTTACCATTTGAAATTCCTGTCCAATGGTTTATCTTGAAGCGATATTGAGATTTATCTTCTCTCATCAAATGTGGGTTTGCTACGTGCCACTCGTGTAAGTTATGCAGGTTCATGTACCCATCTTTCTTAAATGTGGTCTCATCCGACCATAAAGTTTTTTCAAAGAACTGTGGATCTTTCCTGTGTCTTTCTAACATTGTGCGACAAAAAGCAACTCGGGGCTCATAATCCCGGGGCAGAAGAGCTTGAACACGCTGTACGTGGTATTATATATTTTTTTAAATATTTTTCTGATAGCTGTTATGACTTTGCCTATCACCCGGTTTCGGCTTGACGTCGACTTCTGGGACACCCTGTATAGTGCTAAATAAGTTTGTTTAGAAATAAACTGAGCTTAAAACGAGCTCTCTTAGGTCAGGTTTGGGCTTTTTGGTCTTACTAGCTACTGAGTACCCTTTTGCTCAGAATGGTAAGAAAACTTAAAAAAAGCTTTGTCGGGAGAGAAGAAACACGTTTGAACAAGCGATAAAAAACAAATTCGCATCTGGCAACTGCTGGTCAGCATTTTGATTCATGTTGAAAGATATTCGTTTAAGGCGACTTTTACATCACTTCTCTTTGCATGCGTGTTTGCATCGACTTTTTAGATATTTATTGACGGCTTAGCACGCGTTTGTGCCTCGCTGCGTTGTGAATCATTCCAAATTAATGAGAAATGTGAGCGTTTCTACCCTTCCGCACCAGACAGCTCGTGTCAAATTCCTTTGGACTGTATCCCGTAAAATAGATATTTCACATCTCTTTTCCTGGATAAAATGTAGCCTATGCGCTATTCCAGACTACAATCCGTTTTTGTACCAAATTTCATCCTGATTTATGCAGCAGTTTTTGCGTGATTGAGTAACAAACATCCATTTATAATTTTAGTAGGAATTATCGACCTACTCGGCTTCAAGAATATTTTGGTGATATGCTTTCAGGTAGAGATTTGCAGGCATGGTTGCCTCGAGCATTGTCAGCTTCAACCTTCTGAAGCTGCCGCAGATGTAGCTGATCCAGGATTGCATCACTACACGAATCCGCTGCGAAGACAAGACGACAGGGTGGTTAGTGAGGAAGAGGATACGGAGCAAAGGTAGGGATTATCGGAAGCTTCATATGATGATTTTTTTAAATAAGAACCGTTCTGTGATGAAATTGGAGAAACTTTATTTAAATTCGCAAATCACAAACTAAAATATTGTAACGAACATACCGTTTCACTGTTTAACGTCTATGTCGACTGGACTAACATTACAATCTAAATTATACGCGATTGCTGTCAAGTGGCTTCACTGAGATTAACGGCTTCTGCCATCTGGTCGGGTATTTATACCCCTATCGACGAACCGAGATATGTTCCAGCGTTTTCCAGGCTGAGTCACGAACTTCCATGGAAGTGATATATGTAGATGGCAACAGATTCAACCTAGTCGCGTAACGTCTACATCGCGAAGCCACTTAATGCCACCCACTTTTAAATTTTCAAACATATGTCACGTGCCAAAATCACTTAACCCTTTTTTTTTACTATTTATCACTTATCCGTAATTTGAATTTCTCTTAATTGATATTAGATTGCCCATTCCTAGACCAAACTCTTCTCAATGATTTCCTTTTGGCAAATTTAATAGTTTATTGATTGTATACTAAGTGATATATAAATCCGAACACCCAGTTTAAATGGTTTTATTTTAATTAAAGTTGGTGAATGTATTTATCTTACTGTAAATAACAAGTGAAAAAATGTTCAGCCTTATCAGTTGGACATTCCGGTTTTTATACTGCTTTTTTTTAATTCACTAACGCTCTAAAAATGAATATCTCAGCCGCAGTAAAGAATCAACGTTGGCGGATTTTGGTTCTTGACATCCTTTACGATCGGTTACGATGCCTAGAGTACGGAGACCTGTACGATTTCGTCAACTTAGTGAGTTTGATAGGGGCCGTATAGTGGGACTTCGGGAAGCTGGACTTTCTTTTCGGGCAATTGCAGTTAGAGTGCAAAGAAGTGTAGACACTGTGGTTAGGTGTTTTCATGCATGGCTTCGAGAAGGCCGTACGCAAAGAGCAAGGGGCACTGGACGCCGCCGTAGAACAACAGACCGTGAAGATCGCCGCCTAAGATTATTGGCCTTAAGGGACCGCTTCTCCACTACCAGGTCCGTTGCAAATGAATGGTTTGCAGAACACGGAAGACCTATTGGCATGCGAGGTGTTTACCGACGAATGAGAAGTTTTGGCTTGTTTTCATACCGGCCCCACTTGGTCCTCCCTTTAACTCGAGAACACCGACGTAATCGCCTTGAGTGGTGCAGACAACGGTCACTCTGGGATCAGGAATGGAACAGTATTGTCTTTAGTGACGAGTCTCGATTTTGTTTAGGCATGCACGATGGTCGTTCTAGGGTTAGAAGGCGACGTGATGAAAGGAGGAATTCACAGTTTTTTGTTGAAAGACATGTTCATCACACTGTTGGAGTTATGGTTGGAGTTATCTCCTCTAGGTGATTGCATCTTGTTGCAGTTTTGCTAATTGGTGGAAGCCACATGTGCTTTTTTAACTGTACTTTGTTCTTGCTGAGACTCTTGAAGAATCAACTTTAATCTATACTTCGACTGCATCATAAGATCGTCACTCTCAACTATTGTATTTTTTCAGGCTTCCAGGAGAAGCTCCAGGACACGACCTCCTGTACGAGGAGATCATCCAGGATTCTGTCGACGAGGAGGAGGACTCCTCTTCGAATGAACAAAGTGGAACATCGTCTCCAGTCAAAATGCCGCTCAACAAGCATCAGTCAGAGGAGACTAGTAAAGAAAAACATCAGCAGGATTCGCTCTCAGGTGAACAGGACCAGTCTGAGGTTAATCGATTGTCTCAGGAAACATTACCGGATGAGGTAAGATTAAAAAATTCCATGAACACATATTTTGGTAGCCTCCCATGTTTCTATAGCCGAATTAAACCACATACAGGGTGAATACTATTCAAAAATAAGGTTCCCATATTTATTTATTATTTTCCCTACTCATTTTTTTAAACGTGTAATCCACTAGTTTACTCCTGGCTCAAGGATGTCCGCCACCACCCCGCTTGGAAAATTGGTAAAATTTGGCCCATTTTACAGAAATTATATACTATTTCTCTAGTTTGAGACGTATTCGCGTCAGTAAAATCGGACTTCAAAGTCTCTACCGCGCGCCTCCCACTTTAGATTAGTCATCAATAGCAGGAAGTTGATCAGGAATCCTGTCCCGCTTCGGCAGGAATACCTGCGGGCTGAGGCTTCTGGTGGCCCGTAGCAGGAATCCTTACCGGACCGCGGTACAGCCGTACATAACGGCTGTGCCGCATAAGGCATGATCGCGAGCGTACTGCTCGCGTGCAGAGCCGTATCATAGAATTGGCGATAAGGAATACGCATAATTGTTTTTTTTTTATTATCTATCAATTATTTACGTCAATATGAGAGGTACTAGGAAAGAAATCTACCTAGGTATGAAACAAAAGATGTACGATGTTTTATTTTTCAATGTAATAGTAACGTAGTCCTAAAAGTTTCGGTACAAAATTAATTGGTTTTAATTTATACAAGCACAAAGTAATATCAAGTTGCATTTGGAAACTTACTTTACTGTCAATTCACATTTATTTAGTTTGAAATGTTCGCTTTAATATGTACAAATTGGCAATAAGAAAAAGCAGCTACAAGTTGGATGTTCGGGTACCTAAAACTGAAATCTGTCAAGTATTAGAATGAAAATAGTTCACGCAGAACCATTTATCGGACAACAACAGAGTGCGAGCAGGGAATGCCATATCTGAATCTCCCAAAAAAACGACGTGCATTTACTGCACAGAGAAGATAGTGTTTAAATACATGCCTTCAATAAAAAAAATCGATAAATATTTTGTCAAAACTTTTAGAAATACGTTAATTCACAGTTGAGTATACAGGGTGTCCGCGAAGTTGGGGTTTTCCTTTTCAGAAACAACTACCCTTGAAATAACAAAGGTAATGTGTAGTGAAACGAGGGCTACCAAGTAACAAAAAAATAAAGGAAAAAGTACTCACTCTCCAGTTGACGAGAAGGGCTAAGTACGTCTCTGCCCGAAATCATACCGCTCCAACAGAAAATGAAATCAGCTGATGCGCTACCGAGCAGACGCAGGCGGTGGTGCAGACCACGAACAGAGGTAACAAATATGACCATCGTGCAGAAACCACATTGATTGTCTTACACTTAATGGCACATCTTCTAACAAGGAAGGCAAAATGTTGCGTAAAAAGTCTAGGTATTGCATTCCGTCCAATCGATTTGGGAGAATAAGTGGACCAATGAGCTTACCGTTCACCATGCCAGCCCAAACATTCACCGAAAACGTTTGTTGAAAATGTGCCCGACGCACAGCGTGCGGATTTTCTACTGACCAAACATGAGTGTTGCGAAAGTTATTCACCCCATTACGCGTGAACGTAGATTCGTCTGTCACCAATATGCACTTCAAAAAGTCCGGATTATTGTCATGTTGATGCGAAAACCACTCACAAAACCGCACTCTTGCTGGAAAATCGTCAGGTTGAAGGGCTTGTACACGTTGGACGTGAAACGGATACAGCCCCTCTTCACGCAGCGTTTGTCACACTTTAGTTTTTGATACTTGCACTTCTCTAGCCACGTCTCTAGTGCTTGTTGTTTTTTGAAACGCAATCGATTATACGGGTTCGTTTACCTCTACACGCGTGACCGTAATCGTCGGTTGAAGGTTGCATACTGACCTGACACACTGACCCCGACCCAGTTCTGTCCTAGTACCACTCGAGGATGTCGCGAGTCGCGGCTACAGGACGGTATTCACATATTTTTGATGTTGCAGAGCCCTTTATCTCGGTTCTCTTAAGACATTGGTGTATATGGTACTAAGAAAAATTGCGTATGTTTTCAACATCTACACGTCGTGTAAAGGAAAACCACAACTTTGCGGACACCCTGTATAATTCCGTGCGAGTTCTCTATTTCACCCTGTCAGCACGGCTTTGTGGCAAAAAGATCAACGACAACAAATCTGATGGTACTTAACAACATGAATCAGACTACGTTGATGAACGTGGCCAAGCAGATGTTGTACAGGGTGCGGCAGAGAGGGCGGACGTTTTTGGGATGGGTAGTACCCTCCGCCTCCGTCTACGAGAGAGGTGGGGAGGGTGCCGTTTGACTCGTGAGATCCTAGCATTATTTTAGCAATTGTCGTTATGGAGCCTTGGACGGTGGAGTACCGCATTTCCAAAGCCCACTTTCACCTAAACAGCATGGTTAACCAGCAGAATTGTCGTTATTGGGCTAATGAAAATCCGCAACAGTTTGGCGATGTTCATTGGCCTCCTCGGTCCCCAGATTTATCCATATGCGATTTTTTCTTATGGGACACCTCAAGGCTAGAGTATACGCAAACAAGCCCCGAACTCTGGACGAATTTAGGGGCGAAATTCGCGTGGAAGTCGCCCAAGTTGAGAGAGCGATGTTGGAGAGAGTCTACGCGAACTTCCAAGAACGCCTCCAGCACTGCATCAACGATTTCGGCCACCACATGCCTGATGTGATTTTCCACACTTGACTGTCTCAAATGCTATTTCCCTGTGAACCTAATTCCATCAATAAATTTGTTTTCGAGTCAAAATTAACTATTTTATGATTTTTTTAATACCGTTCATCCTCTCTGCCGCACTCTGTATATACCGATTTTGCCAAACAAACTGAAAAATTATGGCTTAGATCGTTCAGATTCGCTATTTTACAGAAAAAAGTTTGCTTCACACAGTGTTACAACTCTTATGAATATGCTTGCGCGTCGGGGGTACCGCAGGGATCAAATCTTGGCCCACTGCTTTCTACATTATTTATAAATGACTTGCGTGTGTGTAACAAACTTATTTGTGCTGGCGATTTGAAAATTTGTTACAAGTATCCACCTTACAGTTGGAATTGGATAATATTCACACCATGTCAAGTAAATAAACTTGGTTTAAATATAAAACGTGAATTTGACATAGACGCCATCTTTGTTTTATGTCACCGACATGTCATTTTGTTGGTTGAATGTTTACCATTGATCGCTATGGAGTCGTATTCGATTGAAGACCGCATTAAAGTTATTCAAGAGCACTAAAAAAATGGTGCAAAAATAAAAAACACGTTTCGCGCGCTTCGTGAACATTTCGGTCGCAACAACCGCCCAAACGAACTAACCGTCGGTCGTCTGGTGCGTAAATTCGAGGCAACAGGTTCTGTAGCAAATCTGCCAGGCTCTGGCTGGCCAAGGAGCGTTCACTTAAAATTGGACTGACTAATTTATCAAAAGTTTGGCTGGTGACAAGTCGCAAATGGTGACGTCATTGCAATAGCGTTACGTTTAGATTACTCTAAATCCACCGCGTACTTTTTTCATTCTTTATTAATACTCGTAAGTGTATATGGAATACAGTTGGAGGTGCAATTTTTGAGTAATATAGACGGTAACTAATGATAATTGACCGATATTTGAGTGACAAGGATATTCCATATTATGTACCTACTGTAATAATTTTCAAGGGCGAACGGTATTCGAGTTGATCTTTCGCGATATTTTTGACGTCATTTTTCATTCACTTGTCATCTACATAGCGCATACGTCATCTAGAGACATGGAATTTTACGATGGCAGCTGATGCTCGTCCTCTCTCTTTTACTTGGGGAAGTATTGTAATGGCGCAAATGAGATATTACGTTTTTTGGAAGTATAATATATACGAGTATATATATATATACAGGGTGACTTCGAAGTTGAGTCATTTATTTTAACAGTGAGTAGATCTGATCAAAAGAAATGTTTTTTCCTTTACCATTTTTCTGGTAAAATTAAAGTAACAAAGTTATAGCCCTTTGGAAGTTTGAGTACCGCCCTGTCTCAATAATATCATGTACTCGTGTTTGGCAACAACGGATATAATCCACCTTATCGGTTCATCGCATCGGAAACAAAAAAGCGAAAGAATTTGGAACGATGTTTATTTTATTCAGTTCAGTTATACATACAGTCAGTGTCAGTCGCGTGTGAATAGTGTCTGTTGCGTGGCTCAAACGAAATAAAAAATGGCACATGTTTATGCGGATCGGTTTCCCAATCGAGTGCAACCAACCCCTCGTGCCTTTGTTAATGTAGTACAACGGGCTCGTGAATCAGGTGACTTCAGACCTCACAGGGGACCTCACGATCAAATACAGGTCCGCACTGAAATACTTGTCGGGAGGATACTTTATAAAACAAGGTAAATTTTTTTTTATTTTTTTTTTATTTTTACACACATATTTTGGTTTATCTTCCTTCTACAATCATTATCTGAAAATTAATGACTCAACTTCAAAGTATATATATATGTATATATATAGGTGAAAAATTAAAGCTTCCGCGTTTTGTTGGGTACTTCGACAAAATTTAAGCAAAGAGGACTCTTTATACTTTTTTTAATTCTCTCTAGCTTTCAATGGACTTTGCCATCATCATCAGGAGCTGCAATTACAATGATAACAGTAGCAACAAAAGTGTAAAATGAATTTAAATTGAATCAACTTACAACAGTATGTGAGGATGTTGCTAATTGTTGTTTTCGTATAGGATGAGGGAAACGTCCAGTAACATGGTGAGAGCTGGATACATGGTACAATGGTTAAAATTATATAAAATATGACAAGACAAGTTAAAGACAGATTAAAAATTATTTAGAAAACATTAGAGCATTACGTCGTGAAGCCACTTGATGATTGCACAAAATGGTGGTCATGGAATAATGAGTGAGATGAACCTTTGACAGAAGGCCGAAGGTTGTCAATGTCTGTGTTGAAAGATGGAACGAATTGTGGG